CCCCATCCACCCCTCCCACACCCATCTCCCTCCCAGACTTTTCCTGCCAACCCTGCGGATTTTGGACCCAGACCCAAACAGTTCCTCGTTTTCCCATTTAACCCCGAAAGAGCTGTTCTGAAGAAACACTTGAGTACAGGAGAAGCTTTCGGGGGAGCAAAGCCCCTGTGTTCCCGCCCCGGCGTGGGGAATGTGCCACAGAGGCAGGACAAAGCGGCTCAAAGGGCTGCAGCCCCCTGCCCGAGCCGAGCCTTAGGGGAGGGTGAGGGTCTCAGCTTACCCGGCCTCTCATAAAAGTCTCCTCCATTCTAGCAAATAACCTTTATGTCCAGGGACTTGCAAAGTTTGCTTTCTCCCTCCAGGGTTAGTCACAGCAGGAGCGACAGAGAAAGCAACCGCTTGTAGGAGGTTCCTCTGCATAATAACCTCAGAGGAGTTTAGGTCTAAAGACTAAAAGGCTCTATTTACTTTCACTGACAAGGAACAATCTAAGCAGATGTCCTTTGATGGGATTAGTTATTAATCCTTGAATCATGGGTAAATGGGAAAATGATCCATTATTTTCTGCAAAATCCTTCACTACTTTAGATTTCAAGGATGGGGTGGAGGATTGTTAGCAGAAAGGTCTCGACCTGTCTGTTTTGGCCGTTTTAAAATGTATTTTTACAGTTTGTGCCGTGGAGCGTGACTCTGAAATAAAATTAAAAAAAACCCCCTCAAGAAAAAGGGGTTTGATTTCACTGACGGCCGAGAACAATGTGCCGAGTCAGACACTCGGCAGCGATGGGCCCAGGCATTTCTTGGATAAATACCCTGAGGTTTAAAATAACAACAACAACAACAACAAAAACAACAATAATAATAATAATAATTACTCTCCCCTCTAAAAACATATTCTGCAAACAGCTTTGGCAGCTCTGCCCAAGTGTTTAGATCCTCCTGATGTCTCTGTGTCCCGTCAGTGACAAACAGCAGCGGAGCCCCCGTCGGTCAGGTGGGGCTCAGCGTCGGCTCGGGCCTCCCATAAATAGTGTGTGTAGGAGGGTGCGATGCGTGGGATGAGGGAGGGATGGGAATTGCTGGTGAGACACACCGGGCTGGCTCAGGGGGCTCATTCTCCCCCGGGTGTAAATCCGTGCAGCCGATTTCTGGCGCAGGGGGAGGTGTGGCCACACGAACATCATCCCACGGGCTGGGTGGAAGATCCTGTCCTGCACCGAGGGGCTGGAGGACACGTTGGTGGAGCTCCTACCCATGGGTCACCACCCCAGCCCCTCGCCCCCCACGGGAGAGCAGAACCAGGAGCTGCAGTTCCCGGCAGTTCATCCATCCCTCGGCGCTGTGGCCACAGCTCAACGGAGTGAATATTAACAGTCCCGAGACAGCCACTCACCCCGAACTCTGCCTCCAAGTCTCCCATGTAGGGAAAGCAGGAATAGATTCCCAATGAATAATTTACTCCGCTTTCTTTTGATTTGCGTTCTGATTGTGCACAGCAGTGCAGGCTCGGAGGGGAAAACATATTCTGATTAAAGATTTATACTGGGCCTATAATTTTGTTGTTGCTGCTTAAATCTACTTCAAAGTGTGAGTAGGGTGGCTGTAAAATAAACACTCTGGAGAAGCCAGGAGCTTTTGGACCATCTCAGGGTGCGAGTGTGGGGGTGCACAGCATGTGCAAAGCATGTGGTTTCATGGATACAAATTTTGCACTGGCTCTCTGGAAAGGTGCTGTCCCAGGCATCCTCCTCATATCAAATCCAGCCAAACAGGGATTGAAATGCTCTCTGTTTTCTCAGACTACTGACTCTGGGTTCCCTCTCCTGAGCTGAGACCGCATCTCAAAAAATGAGAAATAACATGAATTTGGGCTTTATTCTTTTACTACTCTTTTTCTGTTCTTTTGCTATTCTTCCATCACACAAAGAACAGTGTCTGGCTGCAGGGAGTGATTAGACCTGGAGTTGGAAGAGGCTCTAACTAAAGGTAACCCCATATATAGGAAGGAACCAAACTTCAGCTTCCAGCTTCCTCTGTTACCAAAACTTGGAAATATGGGAGTGCAGCACTCCAGGTCCTTCCCAGGATGCCAGCTGAGTGAGCAGGGCAGAGGATTTTTCTTTCCTTCCTCCCTCTTCCTCTGGCTGCCATGTCCCCACAGGCAGACCCACTTCCCAGTGCAGCCGAGCTGTGGGACAAACAGGATCATCCACCATCCCCTAAAGAGCCTTTGGATAAACCCTCGGTGTTGCCATCCCCATGTCTGGTTGACTGGGGAAGAGGGAGATCCAGCTCCTGGAGCTCCCAGCCTGCTCCTGGGAAACAGAAGCTTGCATGAAGTGGAGTTTTGTAACAAAAATGTTTTGTGGGATATTTTGGGGCTTTTTTGTGGGCATTCAGCTGACTGAACACGTCGCTACAAAGCCCTGCCAGGAGAAACCCCTCAGAGATGGATGGCTTTGATCCCACTCTTCAAACCATCTTCCCAGGATGGGGAAACTCATCTCTGGAAGCACTGGGAAGTCTGTGGATGCTCCAGATCCTCAAAGGGAAAGACAGGTCCTTGCCTCACCTGCATGGGTTGGAAACTTTGCAGGCTGCCCACAGACCTGGCTGCTGTCGTTGGCTCGGTCAGCAAAGAGTCAGAGAACCATGGAATGATTTGGGTTGGGAGTGAACATAAAGCTCATCTCATCCCATCCCTCTGCCATGGGCAGGGACATTTCAACTAGACCAGGTTGCTCCAAAGCTTGTCCAACCTGGCCTTGAACACTTGTAGGGATGTGGCAGCCACAGCTTCTCTGGACAACCTGTGCCAGGGTCTCACCACTCTCAAAGCCAAGAATTTGTTCCCAATATCCCATCTTACCCTGCCCTCTGACAGTGGAACCCATTTGCCTTTGTCCTGCCTGGTCAGGTCCTTATGCCGTGGAAGGGGCTCTCAGGTCTTCCTGGAGCCTTCTCTTCTCCAGGTGAACACCCCCAGTTCTCCCAGCCTGGCTCCAGAGCAGAGGGGCTCCAGCCCCTGAAGTGCCTCCGTGGCCTCCTCTGGACTCACTCCAGCAGCTTCACATCCTTCCTGTGCTGGGGCAGGGCCGGAGGCAGCTCTGCAGGTGTGGGTCTCACCTGAGTGGAGCACAGGAGCAGAATGCCCCTGAGGCGCTGCCCACGCTGTGGGATGAGCCCAGGCCAGCGCTGGCGTTCGGGGCCGCCGGTGCCCGGGAGCGGGTCCCGCCAAAGCCCATCCCTGGGGCTTTACTCCTGTCCGAGGAATTCAGGCCAGAGCGCGGAGCACGGGGAACACGGAAACAACCCGCTGAGGCCCGAAATTCCCCCGCTCCGCAGCCTCGCGGGGCCCCAGAGTCGCACCCCGGCCCCCCGGCCGCGGTGATTGACAGCTGTCAATCAGCGCCGCCAGCCCCGCCCTCTGCCGCCACCTGGCGGCGACACGGAGAAACGCGCCGGGGCGGGGGCGACCCCCCCAAACCCCCCCCGCTCCCCAAAACCGGGTTGGCATCGGGAACAGCTTGGGGGAATAAAGGGTCAGAGCAGAGCCCTCGCGGGGTGGGGAAGGGGATCTTTCCCCTTCCCCCCAATCGGTTTTGGGGTGAAAAGGCTATTTTTCGCTGGGAGGCAGTTCTTGGCCTGGTTTAGTTGAAACCATACAATCATGGAATCGTTATGGTTGGAAAAGGCCTCCAAGATCGAGTCCAACTGTTCCCCCAGCACTGCCACGGCCACCACTAAACATTTCCCAAGTACCACATGTCTGTTAAATCCCTCCAGGGATGGGGACTCCACCACTGCCCTGGGCAGCCTGTGCCAGTGCCCAACCATCCTTTCAGCAAAGAAATTCTCCCGAATATGCAACCTAAACCTCCTCTGGTGCCACCTGAGGCTGTTTCCTCTTGTTGTGTCCCTTGCTCCCCAGGAGCAGAGCCCGACCCCTACTTGGCTCCAACCTCCTGTCAGGCAGTTGTAGAACGTGAGGTCCCCCCTGAGCCTCCTTTTCTCCAGGCTGAGCCCCCCACAGCTCCCTCAGCCTCTTCTTGTGCTCCAGACCTTCCCCAGCTCCAGTGCCCTTCTCTGGACACACTCCACCCCCTCAATGTCTTTCTCATTGTGAAGGGCCCAGGATTCGAGGTGAGGCCCCCAGGAGCTGGGTGCTGCTGCCCTTCCTGCAGGCATCAGCCTCACAGCATTCCTGGGTGTATCCTGAACCCAGAGGTACCCAGCTGGGGTGTGTGACTGGGACCCCAAATCAAAGGCAAGTCCTCAGGAGCTCACACTTACCTGGCATCCTGGCTGGAAGCCCAACAGAAATCCACCCCTGGGTGGAGGGAGGCCCCGTTCTTAAGTCAAGCCCCCACCAGGAAAACCTTTGGGTAGGAAAGGCAGTGCCTGACCTGGAAGGAGACTGCAAGGGTCCGTGGGAGCCACAGCACGGCGTGGCCTGGGGTGTCCATTCCAGCCAAGGACTCGGTGCCTCCAGCAGTAAGGCACCAGAAACTGGGTGGTGGGGACCACCATCTCCACTGAGAGTATCCCAGGGGAGCCAAGAGCATCCCAAGGCATCTGAGAGCATCAAAGAGCAGCCAAGAGTACCCCAGGACAGCTGTCACCCCTCCTCAGGGTGGCCTGTGGGGAGGGGACTCTCCACGAGCCAGGGGTATCTTGGAGCCTGGTTGAATCCCTTGTGGACATGAGACAGGGAGACTGGGAACACCTGAGCAGGACAGAGGGTAACGCCCTGCTCCTGCAGCCCTGGGGCTGCTCCAGGTGTGTCCCTCTGCCAGGCCACTGCTTTTCATCCAGGTGATCTCAGGCCCGTGTGCCCAGTGGGAGCAGGGACAGCAGTGTTACCTGCAGCCACCAAGAGCAGGTGACACAGGAGCAGCCCCACCTTGCTGAGATCTCTGGCAGGAGCTGGAGGCCAGAGAGACACACCCTGCTGCACCCTGCCATGGGGAGGGCAGGAAAGAAAGAGCCAGAGGCACGGAAAATTATCAGAAACGTGTATTTTTTTTCTTTTTAATAGTAAACCTCTTTACAACAAATATAGTGAAAGAGTTTCCAAACAAAACTCATAAGAATTTCTCATGGTAATTATTATTATTATCATCATTTTTTTATATATTTTTTTTCTTATTGTGGAATATACAATAACGCATCACCATACAGCACAAAAAAGGAATATTGAAAAAACGAAACAGACGTCTCAACCACGTGCTGCAGTCCCTGGGAAGGAGCCACTGATTGTCAAGGGAGCAGGGACAGGAGGGGATGGGGATGGGGGGCGATGGCATCCCCAGGGTGGGGGAGGATCTGGGTCAGGCCAGACCCCAAGGGTGCAAATACTCCAGAGAAAGATGGAATTATTCAAAAATCACGGTTAAAACGTTACAAGCTCTCAGCATAAATCCTCCCTCCCCTCCCACTGCTGCTTCTGGGCTTCTGCTGCATCGCCCCTGGAGAGCTGGACACGGGGAAGGGGACACTGTGGTCCCCTGGAGAGCTGGACACGGGGAAGGGGACACTGTGGTCCCCTGGAGAGCTGGACACGGGGAAGGGGACACCCTGGTCCCCACTCAGAATCCCTTGACTCGCGCACACACACGCACACACACACGGGTGGAGGAGCATCAGGAAAAGAAAAGAGGTTAAAAATATATATATATATATTATAGATACACAGTTTATTTTTTTTTTCCTTTTAAATTGCTTCTCAAAACAATAAATAAAACTCCTCAGGGGAAGTGCACGTCCTGTTTTGTTTCTACCTGTGCAGCACCCTGGGGAGAGGATGCAGAGCTGCCTGTGCTGTTACAGACGGGCTGAGCGGGGAGATCCAATGAACCATCACACAGAGAAGCTGAGGGAGAGGGGATTTATGTTTGTTTTTTTTTCTTTTAGTGCATCATTTAAAGAGTCTATTCTATTTTACAAAGGTTGTTGCAGACACCCCAGAGTTTGCTAACACCTACCTGCTTTACTGAGCTACAGGGAACCAGAGGCGTGAAGGGGATGGGGGAGACCCAACCCAGAGGCCATGTGGGACACAAAAGGGGAGCAGCAGCACAGCCGTGATGGTCCCCACCTCTTCAGAGTCCTATTTGCCTGCACACTGCTCAGAAAGAGCCGTGGGGAGGAGGGGTGTCGTGGCCCGAGCTGGGCTGCTTCACCCCTCGGCCTTGCAGGAGATGCTGGGAGCCCACGGGGACACCTCAGCATTGTCCCACGACAGCGTTTCCCTGTGGAAAGGATGTTCCATAAGGCTCTGCAGTGGGTTTGTGCCCAGAGAGCGAGGAACTGGGCAGGTCTCTACATCTCAGTGGCACCAGCAGGAAAATCCCGCTCTGCAAACCCAGCCGAAGGGAAGAAATCCCTCATTTGTGGGTGGGATGCAGGGGGGGAACAGCTCACCCCGGCTCACCAACGCCTCTCCCCGCAGCACTGGGCTGGGGATGTTGTAAAACTTCCAGTTCCCGGAAAACAACTTCAGACTGCTCGGAGACGATCCCGGTGCAGTCTGAGCCACACCACCCTCTTCTGGCTTAAGGAAAGCACATTCCAAACAGGCATCGCTCCAGAGAACGGAGCTCGGGAGGAAGAAACTGGAAAACAACGTGGTTTTCCACTCGCTAGGGAGGAGAGGGGAGCTGGAATGACCTCATCCATTCCTCCGAGGTCCCTGATTCCTGCCGGGAGTGTAGCAGAGAGCGGGAGCATCCCTGCACACCAGGAACCTCCGTATATCCAAGGCTCACTTAAATATCCTCCTGCGTGTTTCTGACCTCTCCAGACCCACGGGGGGACACGCCAGCGTGTTGGGAACCCTGTGGAAAAGCATCCCTGGTGTGAAGCCATTGCCAAGTGGCTGCTCCCAGCTGGGAGCCCGGCCAGGTCTGGGTCTGGGACATGGAAACCTGGGGAGCAGGGAGGGACGGGGAGGGGAAGAGCAAGGGAGGAGCCAAGAGGTTTAAACAAGAAATCGCTGTACAACTCGGCCATGTCCAAAGTCAGTATTATTACAATATACTCTGACAAAAATATAATCTCATTTCATATCAATACAACAAAAAAAACCCCCCAAAACCAGTTTTCTGTACTGTTACCATCGCTAACAGATTGAAACTCGCTATTTACAGTTACAGTAGCCAGGTAAAACACTACAGGTGAGAGACCAGAGAGAGGAGGGGCAGAGGGACACAGAGGAGATAAAATCTCTGGAGGAAAGGGGAAAATAAAGGGGGAAAGGCCCTCTTACATCCCGAGCATGGCTTCTGGCATCGGAAAGGGAAGGGTGATGGATGGAGGTAGTGAAAACATAATACTTGGTTTACGGGTCTGGTTGGGATTTTTTGTGGAAAAGAAACAAAAAACCAAAACAAAACAAAACAAAAAAAGATAGAAAAGGAGAAAAAAGAGAAAAGAAAGAAAAAAGAGAAGAAAGAAAAGTGAAGTGAGAGGGGAAGGCAAAGGATAAACATGGGAAAGGGAAACGAGCAAACGTTCAGCTGAAGCCCATAGTTATGGACTTGCCCACAGCCCTGGGAGAGGTGGATAGAGATGAATTTTTGCCACTTTAAGTGGTAAAAATCCCCAAAATATTCCCAAATTGTGCCCTCAGCCAGAAGGATGGGAGGGCAAAGGAGGATGTGGCACCAGGGATGGCACGACCAAGGCATGGCTGGGAATATCCTTCCTCATCCAATGGATGCTCACCCCAGCAACACAGAGGGACCCGTGCGGAGGGGACCCCTGAAACGTTGAGGGCCCCTCACCCCTGGCAGAGCTCTAGGCTGGCAGAAGCAGTTTGCAGCCTTTTCCCCAGAGCTGGTGACAAACTTCACAATTCCCATCCAAAGTGTTAGGGGGAATCTCCCAAATGAGCAACATAAGGGAAGAAAAAAGTGCAGGAGGTGAAATTTTCAAGGAAAAGGTGGGGTTTTTTTGTAAATTTGCTTTTTTCCCTGGTTTGCCAAGATTATTTTGGGAGGGAAGATGGAAGTGAAAAAGGGGGGAAGAAAAGGAAACTCTTTCTCCTTGCCCCACTTTCCCCCAGGCCCACGCACAGCCTGTTGCCAACAGCTCTGGATTTAACACTTCCATCACCCTCCAATCCCAGCACTGGCAGCAGCCCCAAACACACAACAGCAGCAAAACCCTTCCCCAAGGGTCTCCTTGCCACCACCCCTGGTGGTGCCCCTCGCACAACCACAACCCACTGCCGGACCCCTCCAGCACCGACGCCCTCATCCAAACATCCAACACAGCCGAGCTCTTCGCCATCACCCAAACCCACCCCAATCAGCAGGGGGTCACCCTGGCCCCCACCCCACCCTGGCACCAGCTGATCAGCCCCGCAGCCGCCCAGAGCAGGCGAGACCATCCCCCTCGATCCATCACCATCCTCACCACATGCCAGCAGCCCTTCCCGGGATTTCAGGTTCGAGATATCATTTAGGGCCTGCTCCATCCCTAAATCTCCCCCCGGGGTGGGCAAGCAGCTTCCCACCCCATCCTGCTCCTATGGCTACCAGTAGCAGCATCACCTGAGCCAGACCCCACAACCTCCTTCCATCCTCCTCCTCCTCTCTGCACCAAACCCTGGCCACTCCGGCACACT